ACATACGGAATGGGAGGGAGGAGAAGAGGGGACGGAGGAGGTGAAGGGGAAGGGGAAGAGGATGGAGGAGGGAAGGTAATTATGATGAGGAGGGATGAGGAGCTGGATGGCGGAGGAGTCGCCATGGATTCGCTATCTACCAGGATGGGGGTGGTGTGTCGCCACCAAGACAACAAGGCAGCGCGGCAACCACTTTCCTGAGTATATACCGTCGGGCTGCCGACGACGACACCGACGTGGGCCAGAGTCCTCAGGGATGCGTCTTGAGGTCTGGGCGAAACGCTCTTGGGGGCCTCGGGGGATAGTGTAGGGGGGTCTCTTGGGAGCCTCTTGGGGGCCTGTTGGGGTTTCCCAGGGGGCCTCTCAGGACCATCTTGGGGTCTCGTCGGATTTTCTTGGAGGCCTCCGGGGGGGTTCTTGGTTTCCCCTGGGAGCACTGGGGGCGGAGGGCTCGAAATGTCCGTGTTGGTCCGCGTCTCGGCACCGTCTTGGAGCCGTCTTGGGGGCCTCTGGGCCGTTTTGGAGGCGTCTGGGCCGTCTTGGGACTCTGTTGGGCCGTTTTGGGTCGCTCGTGGAGCCCGTTGTCAGGGGGCGATATGGGAGGCCGCTTGGGCCGTCTTGGAGCGTCGGGAAGCGGGAGAGGCGAAAACGCCGAAATCATACAAAAACCCATGGACAATCTACGTTTTTTGTGTTCGAGGCGCTGTTGGGACTGCTCCTGGAGGCCTCTTCGAGGGTCTTACGGGATTCTTGGGCCGTCTGGAGGCCGTCCAGGCGTCTTGGACAGATCGTTCGGCGATTCGGGGCCCTCGTAGACTGTCTTTGGGGGCTTCTGGGGCACCCTCGGCCCGTCTGGAAGCTTTCTTGCGGCCCAGGAGCCCCCGGAGGGGAAGCGCATCTGACCCAGGACCCCCCCCCACTCCCGGCGGGGGAGGGGTCATATATGGAAGGGGCTGTGATGTTGTCCGCGATGGCGACGCAGGCGGCCAGGCGCCGCAGGATGCGAGGCCACCAACGTCTCCCCCAGAGGGACAGGGGGGCCATTGGCGTCCAGCTCGTGCGGCGGGCCGTCCGGATGCTGCACGCGTGCGCGCTGCGTTTCGCGGAGGACGGGGTTTCTGGTTTCTCCAGGGGCTGCGGCGCCCGTGCCCGGCACGCGCCGCGGGCAGTCCGGCTCTTCGCGGGGACGGCAGGCGCCTGCCCAGCACCCGCGGCGCCAGGCGAGGCGGAGGGGGGCCCAGCTGCCGGCCCCGTCGGGCTGGACAGCGGCGCGGGGCTGGGCGAGCACGGCGGCCGCGGGCCCGAGCCGAGCGAGCTGGGCCGCCATGGGGCCGGCAGAGCGTCGCGGCCCCGAGGCGCCGCCGCTCCGCGCGGGCGGCGACCGGAGCCCCGCGGAGGCGGCCAGCAGCCGGGCGCCGGTGGCGCCCCGCGGCAGCTCGCCGAGGAGCCAGCCGGGCGGACGGCGCCGAGGCCGAGCCTGCTCTGATATTGCACGGCAGCTGCTGTCGGCGGCCAACGGGCAACACGCCGGGGGCGCCGCCGTGGGTCGCGTCGCGGCCCTGCGCCCGATGCGCGGGAGGGCGCCTACTGAGCGCAACTTGCGCCTCATGCCGTTGACGGTGCCAGGCGAGCGTCGGACAGCGATGGCGCGCAGATTATTCAACGGTGGGCACCTTTTTTTTCTGGCGGCTTCTAGCCGTCCTTGGACCTCATAGTGCTCGATCTTGCTCATTATGCAGCTTACCGTCGACTCAGTTGCCCTCATTTTGAGTGGATTCTTGCCCCAAGCACGTACGACCCGAGGGCGCCAGCTGCAATGTGTTCTCTCTTGATACAGCGTGGTGGCCCGCACGTGATGCTCCTGCTACAGGCCCGTGAGCATCATTCCCTGCCAGATCCAATTTTGCACGCGCGTTTTCTTCCCGATGACCCGTGCATTGTTGGCAGCTCGGCCAGAGATACGTGCAATTCGCGCCCGCCAGCCGCCAACGACACCCGGGTGCGTGCGTGACGCGTCGTTGCCTCATGCGGCAAGGTCTTGGCCGCCAACGCCACGAACAATTCGGCATAGCGTTAAGGGCCCCACCTTGCAGTTCACCACGCGCTTCAGCTCCCCGTGCTGCGGACTGGCACCCAGCCTATGAGCGAGCGTTGGTGGGAAAGTTGGGATGGACGCAGTGGAGGCCCGCCATATGCACCGCGAAATGCCGATGCCGACGGCTTACGCAATGGGGTAGCTGATCTGGTTGGCGCCTGCATACCCCCAGACACTCACCACCACTACTGCACCGTGACATGAGCTCTCTCCTTGAACCCAATCTGCAGCCTCCGGGCGTGCGAGGCGTTTGTCGCCCACCCACGACTCGCAGCGAGGGGTGCCTCCCTCGGCGAATACGGGCCAGACGCAGTATCAACCGCACCTGGTTGCGATGAGTTGTTGCTGAAATCCTCATCCGCGCCCCACCCATCCTCACACCTCCTTCTCGTCGTTCCCCTCATCCTTCTTATCATCCCCCCCTCCCCCACTTTTCGTACTCATCCTCCCCCCCCATCCAGGCCATGCGGACCCATGCCTACAAAGGCGACCTGGAGGCCCTGTTCAGTACGCTGGACGGCGACGGCGGCGGGACGATAAGCAAAGCCGAGGTCATGCTGGGCAGCAGGAGCAGTGAAGGAAGAGGAAAGAGTAATGTAGTTAGGAAGAGGAGGAACGCACAACCAGAAGAGGATGGGGGAATCTCGAGAAAGAGACATGCCGTTGGGATGCGGAGGAGCAATATGAGGAAAGTGAGGATAATGACGGTTAAGGGAGGGAAGGAGGGCCGGAGGATGGGGGGAGGGTGATGATATTTGTTTTTGTGATTTCCGCGTTGAAAGGGCAGCGCGTAGATGTGGTTTGTTGACGGGGAGATTGGAAACACCGTATGCGAGTCGCTCTTGAGGGACGAGGTGGAATACTGTACCACAGGGAGTAAGGACAGGAGTCGCAGTAGACAGATCGGGCGAATCGGCGGGCCCCGCCGACCAACCATTCCTCTCACAGCGTAATGACCAGCACCTGCACGCAAGGACATCGGCATTGGCGCATGTACCTGGCGAATGGAGAGTCCTCGCGCGCGTGCCGCCCCGCGTTCGACTACTACGTGGGCGAAACAAGACGCATGCGCTAAACCAAAGCGGGATGGATGCTTTCAGGAACAGCGTACGCGGCTTTGTTGCGAACGCCACATTCCGTTTGTACGCGGTCCCGCGTTCGACGACATCGCGGTTGGAATACATGCGCTGCGCCAGGGCTGCTGGAGCCCAATTTTCAGGGGAACCTTGCGCGGCGCAGACGCGAACATACAATTCCGTTCCTTCTCGCGCAGGCGTGTTTCCGATGCTTCTGGGGGGCGATCGTGACATGACACTGTTCCGTGCGCGAGACGCTTCGACTGCCAATGTTGCAACGCATGTTGCAACGTCGATAAGAAAACGTATGCGTCGAGTTGGGAGCCGTCGATGTTGAGCAAGTTCCTGAGCAAGTGCATGTACTGAAGGATTCGACCTGGCATTCGAGGAGCTGGTCCGACTTTCTGCAACGGGAAGTGAGCACGTTGATGCTTCACCAGATTAGTTTGTGCATATGGATTGGTGCGCCATGGTTGGTGTTCCATAGTGCCAGGTGCTCGGCAATTGGCCGTTGCCGCGCCAGCACCTTCAGAGTCGGTGCCCTGAGGATTGGTGCCCTGTGGTTTCTGGTTAGCCGCAGTCGGCCACAGGCGCACCAACCATGCGGAACAAAAAACCAGACCGCTATCACCATGCGTGGGGCACCGACCATCGGGCACACACCATGCAACAAAATTGGACATCCCTGAGATCCGACGTTGCGGATAATTGCAACACTGCAGAGATTCACGACCGAGCCCAGGACCCTATCTTTAAGTCGGGTCTGTCCCTCTACAGGAGAAATATTCAAAAATAGTAAACAAATAGTCTGGGGAGTGTTGGCCATTTCCAAATATGTTTTGACTATTTGGTCTCTTTCCTCCCAAATCCGCCTACAGGAGGCCATGCCCGACCTAATCCTATCTTCCGGCGTCATTTTTCGAGCCGGATCGATCTGTGAGGGCCCCGGGGCCCGAAGGTTGGGCGCGGAAGCGCCCAGTGCGAAGAGATTGCAGCGCCCAGATCTCAGGGATCAGCCACGTGGCACCAGGGCGAGGGAACCCACCATGAGTCGGGTCTAGCCAGGACCCCAGGGTAAGGGGACCTGGTTAGTAGTAGTGCCCCGGAGCCCCTAAAGTGGTGGCTAGAATCACTAAACCAGGTGAACATGTTGAGTTCCCGATGTGCTTTGGCTCCCGACGTCGCCATCTGCGTGAGGGGTGCGTCCAGAGTTTGAACTCCCGAGGATGTCTCAAGCGCAACGGCTACGGGACCCTCCGACTACACCTGATCGCCTCTGAACCCCTTGTGGTATTCTTTCGGAGAGGAGCGTGTGATGAATGTGCGCAGATGATCGCGTATAGCCAGGACCCTGGGTAAGGGGACCCGGTTAGTGGTAGGGCCCCAGAGCCCCTCAATTTGCCAGAATCATTAAACCAGGTCTGCCGTAGCTGTTTTTTTTCCAGGTGACGGCAGTTCCAGTTCGTGGAACGGGGCGGGGGGGCGTCCCCCAGCACACGTCATTAAACCAGGCCCCACTAGACCCAGTTCTGCCAACGCCCGAGATGAGTGGTGCAGACGAGTGGGCTAAGAGGCGTTGCCCCCGCCGCCAGGTCGCTTTCCTCGACGACTGGTGCGAGCCCCTGTCCCTGCGCGGGGACGACGGCGGCGACGCCCAGCGGCGCCCCTCCGTGCCGCCGGGGCCCCCGCGCAGCCGCAGCGGCGGGCCGCCGGGCCCTCCAGAGGACCTGCCCCTCGAGGGATGGGGGGTGGGGAAGCGGGAAATTGCAGCAGGAGGAGGAGGAGGAGGAGGAGATTGGAGGTGGAGGAGGAGGAGGAGGAGGAGGAGGGAGGAGGAGGAGGGAGGTCCGGAAGGCGGAGGAAGAGGAGAAGAGGAGGAGGAAGGAGAGGAGGAGGAAGAAGGAGAGGAGGAGGAGGAGGGAGGAGAGGAGAGAGAGGAGGAAAGAAGGAGAGGAGGAGGGCCCGGATGATGAGGAGGAGAGGAAGGAGGAGGAGGAGGAGACCGAGGATGAGGACGGAGGAGGTAGGAGAAGGAGGAGGAGAGGGAGGAGGAGGACGGAGACGGAGACGGCGGACGGTCGAGGAGGAGGAGCAGGGCGGAGGAGGAAGAGGAGGACTAGGAAAAGGAGGAGGGGAAGGAGTGTATTGGCCGTGAGGTGAGGGTGAGGTGATGATGAATGATGATGTAGATGATGATGATGATGAATGATGATGATGATGAGGAGAGGAGAGGAGGAATGAGGAGGAGGAAGGAGGAGGAGGGAGGAGGGAGGAGAGAAGAGAAGGAAGAAGGAGGAGGAGGATAAGGAGGAGCAGGGCGAGGAGGAGGAGGCGCAGGGCGGAGGAGGAGGAGGTGGAGGAGGAGGATAAGGAGGAGGAGGGAGGGGGGGAGGTGGAGGAGGAGGAGGAGATTGGAGGAGGAGGCGGAGGAGGCGGAGGAGCAGGCGAAGGAAAGAGGGAGAGGAGGAGAGGAGGAGGAGGAGGAAGAGGAGGCGAGGAGGAGGCGAGGATGTAGGAGGAGAGAGGAGGAGGAGGAGGAGAAGAAGACGAAGAAGGAGAGGAAAGTGGGGGAGAGGGATGAGAGGAGGAGGAGGAGGAGGAGGAGCAGAGGGATGGTGCTCCCTCTCTGCCTATTGCTCCTCTGCGCGCTGCCTCCTCCAGCTCCTCTGGCTCGCATGCTCCTCCTGCTCGTCCTCCCCCGCCTCCTCCTGAACACCCCTCCACCTCCTGGTCCGCCTCATGTTCCCCACGGCAGGCGAGCAGAAACGTCCAAAGTGTTTTTTTGCTTCTGCGTCGAACACCCGCTTGTCCATTCCTGCTCTTGCTCCTGCTTGTCCATGTCCTCCCTATTCTCCCCTCCCGCATCCCTCCTCCTCCTCCTCCTCCTCCTCCTCCTGCACCACCTCCTCCTCCTTTTGCTTCTCCTCCTTCTCCCCACCATTCCTTCTGCACTAGTTCTCAAAGGCACGAGTTCGGCTGCAACTGTGGACATATGGATGGGCTTGTAGCTCTAAAAGGCACAGATTCGACTGCCGATGTGGACAGAAAGACCAGTTCGTCGCAGATTGCAAGTGCGAGCGTCGTCCGATCCGAGTTTCGCGATTTTGATCACCGGCTGTCCGCTTTCATTCTTCTCTAAGATCCGCTTCCTCGTCCTCCACTTCCTCCTCCTCCTCCTCCTCAGCTTGAGCTTTCTTCACCAGGAGAGGCCCTCTGCCAGAAGCGTGTCTTTCGCCCCCGCGGTCGCTCGCTCGATCGCCAAAGCTGCTCGACAGGATGTAGACCTCCCCTCTGGAGGCGATTCTGGCTTTCCATCTCGCCAGGCTCAGAGGTAAGGATCTTGGACGAATATGAGGACGCTCCGCCTCCTCCTCGTCTCGAGTTCCTTTCCCCAAGCATGGCTTGCACTCAGGGATTCTCCCTTTGCTTGCTTCAGCCATCGGACGGGTTTTTTTCTTGGGCTGGTGCCACCCTGCCGCCCGTTGCCCGCTCGTGGGCGCCTCGTGGGCGCCCCGTGCGCTGGGTGGATTTTCCCAAGGTTTGGCCTCGTTGCCGTCCGTGCCCGCTCGTGGGTGCTCCGTGCGCTCACATCAGGCATATCGGACAGCATGCGCAGCTTACACCACGCAGCCTGCACCATATAGCTTGCAGCGCATACGTAGCTCACGCTACATAGCTCACAACACAGAGCTTGCACCGCTCAGCTGTCACCACACAGCGCACACCACTTAGATTGCACAGCGTAGCTCACACCGTGCAGGTCACACAATGTGGCTTACACGACCTAGATTACACCGCACAACACGCAATATCGCTCGCACCATGTCGCTCACATCACATGGCCTTCACGAAATGGCTGTCACCACATAGCTTACACACCATGGTGTGCACCACATGGCTCACACCACAAGGCTTGCACGACATGGCTTCCTCCAAAAAGCTTACACGACATGCCTACCACCTCCACAGCGCAATAACGTACTGCTGGGGGTCCACGCTGGCCCACACTTTCTGTTCGGGACCGTAGCGTCCGTGACCGTGGGTCTACCCCCCCCCGTGACGGTAACGATCACACTGGATTGGAATCCGCCTTGCCCCCCCCTCCCTCACAGGAGTGTTCTTTCACTCGCAAGTTATTGCGCCTGTCACGTACATTTTTTGGTCGCTCAGCCGGAGCGAAATCCGCTCGAAAGCCCAACGAGTCGAAGCCAGGGCTACGACGAGACGCGCTGGGAAGTTCCCGTCGGAAACAGCTCTCGCGGCCGCTTCAGCTGCGCCAAACCAGCAATCGCGGCCGAATGAGTTCTGCCGAACATGCTGTGTGTGGGCGCGTGGGACGTTTGCAACTGCATTATCTGTCTCCGGCGTGTGCGAACTAAACGACCGTCCGCGCGCGCGATAGGGCCGCGATTGTCCGCGCTGTCAGCGACGCCGTGTGAGTATGAAAAGTGCAAGGGGGTGCATGTATAGCTTGGCGGCTAAATCCTGCGCGGTCATTTTTAAATGCACGTCCCGGTAGTCTTACCCCTGCGGACGGGAGACCGGTCTTGTGATATTGTTTATGTTTTACTCCCAACTGGCGTTCTTCGGCATCGCCTTCAATTAAAGCAAAGGCAGAGAGAACGAGAGAGACAAAGAGAGAGAGAGAGTTCTCTGCTCCGGCAGGGACACCCACAGGGACTTGTACTGCGACTGTTGCTAGGACCCGCTCCTTAATGGTGGGTCTCCCTGCTAGGACTCTTACCCAGACCCCTAGAAAAGCTTTTCGTCAAACTCCCTACTAGCACTCCTGGGAGGACTCCCTCCTATGACTATTAGCGCGACGCCCAACGCGAAGACTCTTAGCTCGACTCCCTACAGGTCCTCTTCAGCAGGTTTCCCAATTAGGACCGATGGTACGGCTTCCTACTAGTTCTCCTTAGCAGGGCTCGCTAACAAGTTTCTAAGTAGGACCCCCCCCCGCGTACAGGAGTCTGTCTAGGACTCACCGCGAGAACTGTTAGCATCGTTCCCTGTTAAGAGTCGTAGTAGGTATCACTGCTAAGACTCTGGGTCGGACTTCCCAGTCTCATCGCTGGGGTAGCGCCGAGCGAGCGCGCCATTCGACCTTGTGGAAGCTGCCCAGATATTCCGCTGTCTTGAATTTCGCGCCGTCGGAATTCATCGCAGGGGAAGCGCCGTGCGAGCGCGCCATTCGCCCCCGTGGACAATCCCCAGAAGTTCCGCGGGCTCGATGTTCGTGCCCTCGGAAGTCATCGCTGGGGAAGCGCGGGGCGAGCGCGCCATTCGACCCTCTGAAACATGCTTGGAATCCCGCGGGCTCGATTTTCGCGCCCTCAGAATACATCGCTGGGGAAGCGCCGAGCGAGCGCGCCATTCGACCCTCTGGAATCTGCCCAGAAGTTCCGCGGGCTCGAATTTCGTGCCACCCCTGGAAAAGACCGCAGGGGAAGCGTCGAGCGAGCGCGCCATCCGACCCTCTGGAATCTGCCAAGAAGTTCCGCGGCCTCGATCTCGCGCCCGTGGAATTCATCGCAGGGGAAGCGCCGAGAGCGCGCCGGCCATGCGATCCTGTGGGAACTGCCCGGAGAGGCCGCGGGCTCGACCCTTGTGCCCTTTACGTCTCGCAGGGGAAGCGCTGGGCGAGCGCGCCATCCGACCTGTGGGAGCTGCCCGGGCATCCGCGGGCTCGGTGCTCGTGCCCGTGGAAGTCGTCGCGGGGGAAGCGCGCCGAGCAGGCGCGCCATTCGACCCGATGGAGGCTGCCCAGCTCGATGCTCGCGCCCTCGGCCGCGCAGCTGCCTTCAATTGATCAGCAGCGCCGTGTCTGCACGACACATCGGCTGAAGAAGCGCCGCCGGCTGGAGGCGCATGTCCAGACCAGGGCGCAGAAATCAAGGACAGGTCAGGAGAAGGTGCACCGGCTGGCGATTGTCCTCCACGTGTGCAGCTTCCAAAGGGTCGAGTGGCGCGCTCGCTCGGCGCTTCCCTGGTGATATATTCCAAGGGCACGAACCCGCGTACATGTGGACAGGCTCTTGGGAATGAGGCCCCAGACCTTGGTAGACCGTTGCTCGAACCACGGAGGTACAGAGACCCTGGACGTGTCAAATGACAGATCTTACTTTGGACAACTGCTGCAACAAACCATGTCTTCACATGAACGAGAGGCCCATGCAGGCGAGTTTTGTGCCGAAGTCGCGGTCCCAGGCTTCGCGCGGCAGGCCACGCTCCTAGGCTACAAGGGGGATAGGCCACCACGCCGCCGCCTCACGCCGACATGAAGACCAAACGCCCACAAGCCACCCCCAGGGAATCATCGACCCCCCCTGGAAGAGCAAGATCAGAGGACCGCCGCCATGCCGGCCATCTGCGTTCATTGAGGAGCAGGTCGATCGCAGGGCTCAGTAGCATGATTTCAGACAGTCAAGATAATAAGCAGGTCTCGAACCACATAAGTCAAATCGTTATGCTTGCCACTAGCACGGCCAAGCTGGGCAAAGACAGGCTGAGCTCGAACATGTACACGAGCTGGCCCGAGTTTGGTGGACGTTCCTTGTCTCCCACTTTGGCTTGCGCCCCGAGCCCGTACTAACCCTTCCAAAGTTGGATGCGCAGCCGAGATGTGCCCACCATGAAGGGGAGCGATGCGTTCGGATCCACTAAAGATCGCTGGGGGCCCCGCGTTTTGAAGGCGTCTTGTCCGGTGTTCTCGGCGTGCATTCGCGGCGTTATGGTTGCGCAGAGTCTCTTTCATGGCTCCCTTGGGGGCCAGTGGCAAGGATCCGCGATGCCATGGAGTCGGAGGCACTGCGTCTGGTGCTTCGAG